GCCGGGTGACCCAACCCAACCAACAAATTATAGACCCATCTCTCTCTTGAGCACTACATCAAAAATCCAAGAAAAAATTGCACATCAACTCCTCTACAAGCACATCACACCCCACCTGCCCAACCAGCAGTCCGGATTCCGCGAGAAAGACGGCACTGAGCAGCAGCTCGCCCGTCTCGTCCATACCCTCTCCACTGCGAGAGACGACGGGAAACACGTCAATGCCTGCTTTTTCGATCTAAGCAAGGCCTTCGATCGTGTGTGGCATGCAGGCCTTCTAGCAAAACTCTCCCACTATGGTGTCCAGGGCAACGCCCTGGAGTGGTTCCGACGGTACCTGTTGGGGCGTCGGCAAAGGGTCCAGGTGGATGGCGACCTATCGCCTTTCCTCGAGATCCCTGCCGGCGTCCCTCAGGGATCTGTTCTTGGGCCGCTTCTATTCCTCGTCTACACCATAGACCTTCCACATGCATGTGAGAATCCCGGCACCACCTGTAGCCAGTTTGCAGATGACACCGCTCTGATTTCCATAGCGAGAACTCTTCAAGACTGCACCCGAAACCTACAACAGAGTGTCACAGCAGCTGGAGACTGGCTTCAAAGATGGCACCTGCTGGTTAACACAAAGAAAACAGTCATCCTCCCGTTCTACCACAATAACCGCCCCCCTGAACAGCTACCCCAGATCACCCTCAGGAATAGTCCGCTTACCGTAGCACAAAAACACAAACACCTCGGAATAATCTTTCAGCATGACCTCCGTTGGACGGAGCATGTTGAATACATAGTCAAAAAATCACTCAAGTCTTTCAATATTCTTTTTAGACTAAGGTCTACACTCACCAGTGATTCTTTATCTCACATCTATCAGACATACATACTACCTATATTCTCATATGCGAGCACTGCTCTCACACCGTTGTCCCACACTTCCCTTGACAGGCTAGAACGACTCCAGCGGAAAGCCGCCAGAATATGTCTCCACCTTCCCCTTTACACACACTTAGAACACTCCCACCTTTTGCATCGCATCAAATGGCCAACATTATTTTCACGTTTTAAAGTTAAACATATACTCTTCGCGCATTCTCTGCGCCACAATTATGCCCCACCACATATACTCTCGCTGCATACTGCTAGCAACGTGCAACCTTCGTATAATTTACGTCGCTCTCGTACTTGGCACTTGCCAACTCCGCGGACTGACCGCTGTCTCCATTCTCCCCTGTACAAGGCCCTTCATTACTTTAATTGCCTGCCCACCCAGCTTCGCGAAAACCCTTCTCGTACTCCCTTCAAATCCGAGATATCCCTGCTGTTGCACAACTCTGTATGCTCGTGTAGCGACCACCCCTGCCCGTACACTTAAGTACGCAACTCTGTATGCTCGTGTGGCGACCACCCCTGCCCGTACACTTAAGTAGTCATTAACCCCTAGGCCCTGCCCACCCAATTCTTCCTCACTCTTTCTCCTTTCTTACACTATTATCTCTTATTGGCCACTGGCTATCGTGAGAATAAAGATTTGAAACAACAACAACAATCAACGACAATTACAACAACAACAACAACTATTACAACAACATCAACGTCCATCAACACCCAGACCTCAACACCAACGTGCAGACGGGGTGTTCCGACGTGGTGAAGGCCTACCCATGGCCTCGTCGGGACATCACCAACCTCGTCAGCAGCGAGCACCTTCTCACAACAGTCGTCATGGTGATGACTATGACTGTTACAGCTGCCGAGCTGAGAGAAGGACGCCATGGGCAGAAGTTGGAAAAAGACAAGAAAAAAGAAAAAGAACAAAAGAACAAAAGAAAAAAGAAATATAAATTACAAATGATTTAATTACAGAGGAAGACAAGAAAATAACATCACAAATCCTTTCAAGACGTGATCCTCTGCGTGCATATATGCTCTGCGTGCATAATTCTAGGCGATTTCAATGTCAATGTCCAAGACCCTAGTCACGCACATTACCCTCACCTACGAACATTCTGCCATGATTTTGATCTCCGAAACGTTGTCACGTCACCAACTAGATTCCCTAGTGCAACAACCATAGACCTAGCACTGATCTCAAGCTCTTCCTCCACCACGTCTACTGCGAGACCAGGCAGGGATGAACTGATTTACAAAGACTGCAATGTTATTCCATGTGATATTTCCGATCACCAACTTGTTTGTGTGAACTACAATATCCATGCTACCACCAGCACGCTCAAGACAAACAGACAGGTACAAGTACGAAAGCCACCGCTGCGTACGTTGAAGATTAAGCAATTCCAAGAGACAGCTGCTAAACATATGTCTACTCTCCACCAGCAGATCACATGCAGTTCATCACAGATGTCTCTAGACAGTTATACTGAACACTGGCAGGATGCAGTCAGTGATGCATTGAATGAGTACTGCCCACTAAAGACTGTTAACGCCAAGAAGAGCTATACTCCATCGCCTTGGGTAGACGACGAGCTCCGGCAGACTTTATTCAAGCGTAAACGAGCACACCGTGCAATGATAAAACGTCCTGATCGCTCAGACCTGCTGCAACAATTCCGAACTCTACGAAGACAATGTAAACTTTTAACTAGGAAGAAACGGTCTACATACTTCCAGCAACAACTAATCAATCATCGAAACCACCCAAGAGAGCAATGGAGTGTCATGAACAATCTACTGGGTAGAATTAAAATCAACCAGGAACCTGCTGCCGAAGTAGCCGACATCACAAAGACATTTACAGACGTTGTCAACGATACATCACTTTCTGGCAGTACACTACGCACTCCTAATGGCCCTGTATCGGAATACTCCCTGACACAGTTCACACCAGTCACTGTTCCACAAGTCCAACTCCATATCCAGAGAATGAACAGTCGTAAAGCCACAGGACCTGATAACATCCCCGCCCAGGCCTACAAGCTCATCAAAGATGAGATCGCCCCATCTTTAGCCAAACTATTTACCAAGTCTCTTACGTCTGGAGATTTTCCATCGACATACAAACTAGCAAACGTGCGGCCTATCTACAAGCGTGGAGATAAGTCAGTCCCATCCAACTATAGACCAATATCACTCCTGTCCCACATGTCTAAGCTACTGGAACATATTGTACACGACCAACTAATGTACTATATCTATAATGCACCACCACCACTGTTACCCCTACCTGCTGAGCAATTTGCCTACCGCAGAGGCCACTCCTGCGAGGACTTGCTCACTCCCGTGATCAACGACTGGATGCTCTCCTTGGACAATGGTGATTATGTCGTAGCTGCCTTTCTAGACATGTCTAAGGCATTCGACACAGTTAGTCATGAAGTTCTACTGAGTGAACTTCTGGAAATCGGTGTCGGTGGTACTGCCTTGCAGTGGTTCTGTAGCTACCTTACCCACAGGAAGCAACGTGTGGTCACCAAGACACAGCAAGGCCTTACATATAGCAGCAACAGGGGGGTTCCGCAAGGCTCTGTCTTGGGGCCCTCTCTCTTCAATCTGTCAGTCAGAAAGCTCCCATCTGTACCCCAGCACTGCAAGGCTCGACAGTACGCGGACGACGTCTCCCTGTACAAAGCTGGCAAGAACGTCAAACGATTGTGCAAGGAGTTGACAGAAGACATTGTGAAAGTGAAAGAGTTCTTGGCGGCCAGAGGCTTACTGCTGAATCCTTCCAAGACGCAGTTTGTCGTGTTCAGGTCAAAGTGCAAGCCCCTTGACCCTAGCGTCGCTCTACAGCTGGGTGAGGTCACAATCAACCCTAGTGCACACATTCGATACCTTGGCATTATACTCGACGAACATCTCTCCTTTGGAGAGCACGTTAGGCAACTAGAGCGGAAAGTTGGAAGTAAGTTAGCCATGTTCAGAAAGGTCCGAGATCACATGACGGTAACTGCAAAGCGTGCATTTTACATTTGTTCCATTCAGACAGTACTCGAGTATGGGAGCAACTCATTTGCTCACTGCTTGTCAGTAACTCTGCATGACCGTCTAGTCCGTCTTAGTAATAGAGCTCTACGCATTGTGTTCAGTATGCCTCGTTTTTCTGACGTATCCCTTATTAATGCACGCCATCACATTCTCCCTTTGTCTGTGCGCTATCAGTTCAAACTCTATATCTTAGTGTTTCGTGTCCTGAATCAGTTAACTACTACTCTCCTTACTGATTGCTTTTGCCTTCGTTCTACTTCTACTCGTACCAATTCCTGCACTCGCTCCCAGGTATCTTCGTCTGTGACTCTACCCAAGGCTAAAACTCGTTTCGGTCTCTTTTCAGTTTCTTTCATCGGTTCCGACCGTTGGAATGCCCTCCCCGCTGCAGTCCGCTTATGCTCTTCCCTGCATCTATTCCGTAATTCAGTACTTTCATTTCTAGGGTACCCTGTAAGAAGGCCTTAGGCCTGTGGGGATTGCCCTATCAAAAATTTGATAATAATAATAATAATAATAATAATCCCTGCAGCGGCAGCAACGTGAACAATACTACGGCGGCAACACGACGACTTCTACAACACAAAAAACGAAAATTATAAAAATCCTACCAACCCGTAGAGTAACGAGGGTCCGAACCTGGGTTTTCCCAATACGGTTCAAATGGTCGCAAGACCGGGACTCTGCCAACCGGGTTATGGTTGTAGTCAGGAGCACTACGCGTCCTCGCCTTGTAACATGCTGTCAAAATCGAAAAACATGTTAAACTACCAAGCAAGGCTTCTGTATATAGCATCCATTCACCTAGACGGTTGCAACAAGCGCGCCACTCTGCAGATCTCGCTGTACACAACAGGTACACACGACTGCCGGCCCGATCGAGCCGTTTTGCTCGCAGATCATTTTTCGATCTTCACAAAAAAAATTCAACACGCACGGTTTACGCGGTACGGACTCGTAGTCGTACTCGGACCTGGGCACAACAAACTCAGATCAACGGAGACCGCACACTCACCTCACCGTGCACCATATCCAAAACAAGCGGTATGGACAACGCCCCGGTCAAATACTGACCCCAATGGCGGGGATGCAACGCACAATCGCGAAAGAAGCAATTCCGCAAGTACGACTCGCACTTGTCGGAACGACGAGGACGACAAACGTCGGAAGCACCACGCGCGCCAACTTCACCGCACGCAGATCTACGCGCGATCCCCGCACGCGACCTACGACACCACGCAAGATCGACGTCTCCAGAGCACAACTCGCGAAGACAACAATAAGCCATCACGTCGCGTGCGACTACACTCCACATATCTTCCTCAGTCTACGTTCAACTTCCACGTCGACGACCTTCTTACCAGCTCCTCGGACAACCTGGAGAGATCTCACGGTAAGTCCAAATCAACACACAGAGAGAGAGAGAGAAATAGGGAGAGAGAGAGAGAGAGAGAGAGAGAGAGAGAGAGAGAGAGAGAGAGAGAGAGATAGAGAGAGAGAGAGATAGAGAGAGAGAGAGAGAGAGAGAGAGAGAGAGAGAGAGAGAGAGAGAGAGAGAGAGAGAGAGAGAGAGAGAGAGAGAGAGAGAGAGAGAGAGAGAGAGAGAGAGAGAGAGAGAGAGAGAGAGAGAGAGAGAGAGAGAGAGAGAGAGAGTGAAGGAGAGAGAGAGAGAGAGAGAGAGAGAGAGAGAGAGAGAGAGAGAGAGAGAGAGAAGAGAGAGAGAGAGAGAGAGGGAGAGAGAGAGAGAGAGAGAGAGAGAGAGAGAGAGAGATAGAGAGAGATAGTGAGAAGGCGACATAGTTAATGCTATCGATTAGTCTTTTCCATCAATTCCTGAGTTTTCATTCCAACGTTCCAGGGTGATGCAGTTACTGCAATTCTGCTTCACCTCTTGGTTAGGGTTCTGCCGGTGAATCTTTGCGCCAATGTGGCGTTCGAACAATTCCTGTGTTTCCAGATGTGGAGTATCCACCGACTGTGCATAGTGATTGCCGTGCATCTTTTGTATGGTCCAGCGGAGACTCATGCAGATGTAACATGTGAGTAGAAGATTCTGTGGTACTATTAAATATGTGGCCAAGTGGTTAGCAAAGGAACTGACTCCAGTGAACGCCTGGGGGTAATACTTATCTCTCTACTTCCTTTGGAGTCCATGGTTCTATTTCGAACCATTGGCATTTTGTATGCATGTAGGCGCAGTCAAACTTTCGGTTCTCGGCCAAATCTTGACCAAATTTAACAATCGAAGGGTGTAGAGGGTAATGAAAACTCTTTGCTATCGCCTCGAACAGGTCCGAAGTCTCTCCGATGAAGTTTGAGTGAGCGCCGAGCGATCGAACATTTCAAGTTGCCTGCACAGCTTGCTGCGAGTCAGCAGTGCGTGAAAAAAGGGATTTTCCCAGCTTCATGACAGGCGGCATGTGCCAGGACCGGCGCGGCGCAAAGTCACGGCAAGGTAAGCTTCTACACGAACATAATTTGAACAGTTCCGAGCTAGATTCAGTGGAATGGCTACAGGAGACCGATTTCGTCTCAGATCTGGAGCTGGACTCGCGTTTGGGGCGCGTTGTGGCGGTCAATGAATAGTGCTCATGGCGAGTTTAGGGTCAGTGTATTTCTCTCATCGAGAGCTTTCCAACGAGCCCAAGATCTTCAAAATCGGTGAAGTAGAACCAAAGTTATGTTGGAAATGGATTGCGCATTTTCGTGACTGCCACAAATTCTGCGGAAGCAAAAAAGTTACGGACTCCAAACGGTTGAAAAAAATGTGCAAAGCTAAACTTGCTGCAAGAACCGTGCAAGAAAAGAACCACAAATCAAACAGAATGAATCTACATGTGCGCAGTGGCGTGTCCAGGATTTGGCTTCGGGGAGGGGGGGGGGGGGGGGGGGGATGCGGCCGGGATGGGGGTAGATGAAATCATGCTACCATCCCAGGTCATCCATTTTAAAATCTCTCATTCAATATCGGCATTGCTTGCCACGAGATGATGATGCTATAGTAATAATAAAAGCACCGTGTGTTCTGTAGCCATGCATGATCACTAGTACTCTGTAGTGTGTACAATCTACAAAAGCTCATGCACCGTACCATGCAACCGCTTTTGGACGAGCGTTCAGGGCGCGAGCACGCCCCCCCCCCCGCCCTGCCTTTTTTTTCGAAACCTAGGTCGAAACGCGGGGGGGCACCCCCCCCCCCCCGGGCACCCCCTAAACCCGCCACTGGTGCAAGTCCGGAAAGTGGATTCTGGGTCATTGCGCGAAATCGCACATCTATGAGCGACATCCACATAAACTGCTGGGAACATGGTTGTGTACTTGAATCTCATTCTGAGCACCCTTTTTCTTCCTTTTTTCAGCCGTTTTTTGCAAAGAGTCCTCGATTTTTTGATCGATCGTTCTTCAAGGAAAGTCGACAATCGATCAACAGGGCCGAGGACGATGGCGTCTGGTTGGAGTTGTTGCGTGGCACAGGATGACCAGGCACACATATAGATACATTGCGACAATCCAATCTGCACAGCGTTTCCTTATACCGCACGCACGGCGGTAAGTACAATTCATGTGATTTCAAATTGTTTGTGATCTACAACGTTGCGAGCAGAACGGAAATACAGCAACAGCACGACAACCGTTATACCAGGCTCAACCACAGGCACCTCCATCACATTCTCCAGATCAGACGGCAAACGAGGCAGTGAACATGAAGAACAAAAGAATAAAAGAATGAAAATTCAAAAATTCAAAAAATCTCAGAAACGTTGAACGGAAAAAAAAACACTGAAAACAATGAAAGTGACCATGGCCAGCAATCGAGGACATCTGAGAGTTGTAATTTTTGTACTCCGAGGTGTGATTTTTGGCGTGCTGGGCCAAGCACAAGGAAGCCATCTGCAAAAAAACTGCAGAAAATGGTTGTTGTTTGATCCTTTGGTGTAATCTTTGTTTCTAGTCGAAGCTAGTTGCTGTTTGGAGCAGAAACGCTGAAATTGACTATGTTCTGCATGTACTCATACATGTACTCATGTACTCAGGCATGCAGTCTCACTCGTATTTTAGCTCTTTTTCTGGAATGGATGCTGCTCTGCGCCCCTTGGTGAACATTTCCTGCGCTCGTGGAGCAGCTGAAAAGGACCACTGGTATGTCTGGTTCCTGGTTTGAAAGTGGAGAGTCGACTTTTGTGTCTTGAAAAAGGAGTAGAGAGCGATAAAGGTACGTCTGTGGCTTATTTTTGAGTGCTCCTCGTACATTTTTGATCGTGATAGAAATTCTCAGACCAAAGTCCGACCAAAGTCAGCGCGCGATGTTGGCCGTACAGCTTTCTTGTGGATTTTTTAGTTGCTTCATCTCGTATCTATGTCAGTATCACTCTCTTGGACAGCCTGGAACCTCTCTGTTTTTCAGTATCGTGATGGTGAAGTGGAGAGGGTGATTTTCTTCCTCTAGGCTTCGTTTGGCCGACTTTGCTTCGTCCTCGTTGAAAAGTGAACCTGAAAAAAAGGTCGATTCGCAAAATGATGTTGATTTTCAATGTACGTGATGACATGCGATTGCTGGCTATGTTACTTCGATGGCAAAACACAAAGCCAATGTTCCTTGTTTGGACATGGCTCATGCAGAATCAGCCACACAGTGGAACCCTGTGTTTAATTCCACAAGCGATGGCTACCTGCTCCTCACCGACCAGCCTCCATGACTTTGGTAAAATCAACAAAAATACGAAATTTGGACATATTGTGCATGCATGCAATAGAGAATTTGTGCTGAGTGCGTCGAGTGGCCATTCCAAGAGTACATGTACAAAGCCATTGCGCAAGCTGTGACCCTGAAATCTCATCCATTGGTAGCCAGGGCAACCCTGAGCTGGAAAATGTAAGCGATGGCATGCTACACTCCCGCGTATGCGCTTGACAGTACGATTTGAGGGATGGAGTAGTAATATATCGGCATCTTACTACTCCCTGATACCAAATGCATGGGCGTCGTCATGTTCATCCCGCAGATCGAAAATGTACAGATGTCGCGTGATTTCGCGCAATGCATGGAAAGGGTTAACAGCTAGTCTATGACAGAGTGATAGGGGCAAAGCTATATGGGCAAAAAGGTGCTACAAATGGCACTCATGAGTGGGAAGGGTGCCAAATGTAGACTAAACCAACCCTGTGTAACAAAGCAAATATGGAATGACCAAAGGACCTGGCACCAATGCAAAAGGCTTGTCATCATAGGTTGACAAGAGTGGTGCAGAGCAGCAGTGCGTGTACATGTGACATAACAGGGCCGGCGCCACCCATACGGCCGGTACGGCCATGGCCGTAGCAACTTCCCAAAAAGTCGGTCCACGTGGAGCATCCAAAACCGGGGGTGAAAAAGTTTCGATGTATGATTTTATTATTATTATTATTATTATTATTTGAAACTCAGATTTTGAGCCATAAATAAATGTGGAAGAGAAAAAGACATATGGATACGAGTTAAGAGTAACTCTCCATCACTGTAACATGATACTATGTACAGTCAGAAAGTGCAATAACTAGGCACAAAACTGACAGAGTACTGAAACATTCGACGTCCTGACACCTAGCTTTAACACATCTCAGTAGCGCTAACCGACAGCCTTCCAACTTGGAAGGTTCAAGGTTATGGAAAAGACCAAAGAGGGGAAGGCAAGCGCAACGAAAACGAGCAAAAGCCACAGTCCCAATGAACAAAGAATGTCGATTGTTACTGGACGATGACGAGACCAGTACGATATTTGACAAAGCGGTCTAACTACAATTCGAAGCAGCAAAGCAGCACACCACCCAACTTGGGTGGGTCATAAATATCAAAGATAAGTAAAGAAAGGGAAGCTTTGCGAAAACGAATTGTACAAGCCGAAAGCCAAACTCCTACAGTACTCCTCATGCATGACATTGTGATGGACTAGTTGACTACAAAACAAGTTGTTTCACACGACGTACGTTTCGCCGTATGGTTCGTGACGGCTCATCAGGAGATGTGTTAAAGCTAGGTGTCAGGACGTCGAATGTTTCAGTACTCTGTCAGTTTTGTGCCTAGTTATTGCACTTTCTGACTGTATATAGTATCATGTTACAGTGATGGAGAGTTACTCTTAACTCGTATCCATATGTCTTTTTCTCTTCCACAATTATTATTATTATTATCTTTATTCTCACGGTGGCCGTAGCCAATAAGAGAGAGACAGTACTACAGTCGTCGCCAAAAAAATCCGGCCAAATGCAATTCTAGCTACCGGTAGCTGTACTGTGGCGCATGCACTGTATCATCGTGGTAGTGGTAGACCGAGTCTACATGTAGTGCAGTTACTTCATTGACATTGTTGACATGTCGGCAGGCGCTCGGCCCGCATACACCATGTAGAGGCGACCGTTCGATACCGGAACGCCTTGACAGCCTAATTTGTATAGGCCCAAACCGATCATCAGCGTTGATTGTTCATTCGAAATATTGTTTGTGGACGGAAACTGGCATGTTGAAGTTTGCTCCGATGTAAGAGTCGATCAAAGGTTTTAGAGTGCACATCAAATTCACTCTAAGTCTGAAATTAGGTAACTGCTATCGCTCCACGACGGCCAGTACAGAGTAACAATAAGCCTTGCGTGTGCTTCCATTAGTGGCAGTGGCCTTGTAGACTAGTGACAGTGCACGTATGGTGCCACTCCAGTGCATGAACCCGCGATGAAGTACTGCGTACCTACCATACCTATAGTATGTACGTGTATCCTTGGCATTGGCTGGATTTTTTTGGTGACGACTGTATGTGTTATCAATCAGAGTGGGTGCAATAAACCGGGAGAAACAGTGGCTAGTGGCAGCCGTTGTTTGGGTGGTTCATTTAAGTAAAGACGAAGAAGGAAGTATATCCATTGCGAGGGCAGGTAGGCGATAGACCTTGATTAAAATACTATACCTAGGCTGGGCTACAGCGGGGGTTGGAGCATGTGCAAATAGATGATACTATGATTGAGGAAACCTCTCTTTTGAATGCATTTATTTCTCGGAGGGAGTAACAGT